TTATTTAAACTACATATTCAAGTTGTAAGTATTCCTATTACTTTAAAACAAGAACATCCAGCTTTAAATCTTGTCAGTTCAGTAGATGAGCATATCGCATTTCTGAATTTAAAGAAACTTTGAAAAGAATACATTTCATAATTTTTATTCACAACATCAAAAGGACCTATCACAAATAAAACAGATACTTGAAGGGTTACAATCACTCAACAAATATTTTAACAGAAATGTGTCCATCAATTTCTCTTTAATACATCATATCACCATGTTTCTCCAAGTTTACACTGCAGCTCTTAAATGAATGCTTCTAGGGTAATTAAGCTTACTTCTACAGCTTGTGTTAATTACTTCATCTAAATACAAGTTATTCCTAGTGCTTTAGTGTTTAATTTATTCATTACCAAAACATATACAGAATTAATTATTACTTACAGTATTTCTTAACAGTTAGTAAATAATAGTTATAATTATATATTTCATAGATAAGAAAGTCATCTCTATTGGAGCCACAACAATTGTGGTTATTGTTTATAGTTTCAAAACAACGGCAACACATTTGATTGCCGTTTATGAGAAACAAAATCATGAAACAATTGCTTGGATGCTACTATTCAAGTGAAAGTTTATAATACAAAGAGACATTTCTTACAAATTTTCACTTAAGAGCTGAAATAGTTCTTTAAACATGATTAAACAAACTGAAACCAAACCAAACCAAAAAAGAAGGAAGTATTATGAAGCTTATTTGACGGTATCCATGAGAAAGCAAATGATCAGGTAAGGATTAAAAACGTTCTTTTCTCCAAGTTGTTTTTTTCTTTTCCGAAAGTCTGAAAAGCAGAAAATGTGTTAATAATGATTTTAAAATGCCACCATGAATTTTGTTTTAAGTAATAAAGTGAAAAAAAAAGGTATTTAGTGCTTTCACTTTTTTTTAGAAACAATAACAAAATCATACTTATGTTGAGTTAGTACACACTTCTTGAATAAAAGCAATTAGTATAATACAGAGAATGTTGAGTAAAACCTGTTGCACCATTAATGATTATGAATAAAGATACTTACCAATTAACTAGGCATGTTAGAGCATTTTTTATTATATATATATATATATCAAAAGGAACATGATACTATAAAGACTGATTTTTATCAATTATATGAAAGTTAAATCAGAAAACTACACACTTTGTAAGGCCATACCTTATAAAAAGATTCCTAGATTCAAAGATCCCCTTCCATTAAGACATTGAGTGAGAAAGTAGCACTACGTTCACCTGAGTGGTCTGAAGTAACCACCGTATACTGTCCAACATCAGCTTCTAATGTTGATGGGATTTTTAATGTATAAGAGTGACCTTTCTTAGTGATCTTATGCCTTGGGCTTTCTTCTTCTAATGGTTTCCCATCTTTGAGCCAACGTACTGAACAGAAGAAACATATTTTAAAACTTTCTGGACATTACTCTTTTAACCTCTCTTGATACAAAAAGGAGTGGAAATTTTCAACGAAGTAAGTAAATCCAATATAGCTCTGACTAAATGTTAACTGAATTATCAAAATGGTTCATCAATCTGAGAAACCAAGAACATAAAACTCCTATACATATTATAGGAAACTGCACAAATAATAACTAAAATAAAAATATATTAATTTTATCAATTTCCTTCAATTTTTATACATCCCTGTTCCTTCTTCACTTTTGTTATAAGTCATACTTCTAGACCTGCATGGTCAACTGTACTGTCACAGAATTATAACTTCAACAAGAAGAAATTGAAAATAAAGTTTGAAAAAACAGATGACATTTCTACAGACAGGAAATTATGTGAAACAGAACAATATTTATATACATCTTTCTAGAGAGAAGAAACCATCAAAATGAAAACAGAACAATATTTATATACACCTGTCAAAAGAGAAGAAACCATCTAACTTAAAACAGAACAATATTTGTATACACCTATCAAAAAAAAAGAAACCATCTAACTTAAAACAGAACAATATTTATATACACCTATCAAAAGAAAAGAAACCATATAACTGAAAACAGAACAATATTTATATACACCTTTCAAAAGAAAAGAAACCATATAACTGAAAACAGAACAATATTTATATACACCTTTCAAAAGAAAAGAAACCATCTAACTTAAAACAGAACAATATTTATATACACCTTTCAAGAGAGTAGAAACCATATAACTGTAAACAGAACAATATTTATATACACCTATCAAAAGAAAAGAAATCATCTAACTTAAAACAGAACAATATTTGTATACACCTATCAAAAAAAAGAAGCCATCTAACTTAAAACAGAAAAATATTTATATACACCTATCAAAGGACTAGAAACTATGAAACTGAACACAGTAGAAGATTTGTATACACCTATCAAACTCAACACAGTAAAAGATATATATAAACCTATCACACTCAACACAGTAAAATATATATATAAACCTATCACACTCAACACAGTGGAAGATTTGTATACAAGTATCAAACTCAACACAATAGAATATTTGTATACAACTATCAAACTCAACACAGTAGAAGATTTGTATACACCTATCAAACTCAACACAGTAAAAGATATATATAAACCTATCACACTCAACACAGTAAAATATATATATAAACCTATCACACTCAACACAGTGGAAGATTTGTATACATCTGTCAAACTCAACACAGTTGAAGATTTGTATACAACTATCAAAGTTAACACAGTAGATTTGTATACATCTGTCAAACTCAAGGCAGTTAAAGATTTATATACAACTATTAAAGTCAACACAGTAGAAGATTTGTATACAACTATCAAACTCAACACAGTAGAAGATTTGTATACAACTATCCAACTCAACACAGTAGATTTGTATACATCTGTCAAACTCAACACAGTAGAACATTTGTTTACATCTGTCAAACTCAACACAGTAGAACATTTGTATACATCTGTCAAACTCAACACAGTAGAACATTTGCATACAACTATCAAATTCAACACACTAGATTTGTATACATCTGTCAAACTCAACACAGTAGAACATTTGTTTACATCTGTCAAACTCAACACAGTAGAAGATTTGTATACATCTGTCAAACTCAACACAGTAGAAGATTTGCATACAACTATCAAACCC